GTCTATCTTAAATAATAGACAAACATGTAAATTAACTGTCCCTCCGCTACGCTTACCAGCCAATCAGGAGAGTATGCAAATTAACCCAACAAAGATGGCGGTTAATTTGCACAGGTAGGGGCGAAGCGGTGGAGTGAAGACTGAAGGCTCCATCTGGAGCCACGAAGACTGAAGGCTCCGGCTGGAGCCTCGAAGACTGAAGGCTCCGGCCGGAGTGAAGGCCTGGATCCCGGGTGCTGGAGGAAAGCTGGTGCCGGCAGCCAGGGGAAGGGAAGGCCTATTGTACGAATCTCTTCGTGCAATGGGCCTCTAGTATATATATAAAAGGCTAAGTGACCGACCGACCAGCAATTTAAAAATAAACGTTGACTTGTGCATGTGTGGTACATATAAAACTCTCACTGGCGCCAATCGCACATGTGTGTTTCAATCTGTCATTGTCCATCATGAATTTGGTTGACACTTCTATTATAGAGAAAAGGTGAATAGCAATATTAAAATATTTCTTCTAATTAATTTCCTTTCAGTGTGCACGAATCCATGCACTGGGCCAATAGTGTATTATAAAATTGTACACCTGAAACCTATATAATTTTATTAACCAGTGTCACCCCAATAAATTCAATAAAAAAGTAAAAAATGATTATGCACATAATTGTTACCTATATAAATGGGCTGATGCCTTTTGTAATATAGCCAGAACTCAAAATTGCCCTAGCTGGCTTGGTTCAGTGGATAGAGCATCGGCCTGCAGACTGAAGGGTCGTGGGTTTGATTCTGGTAAAGAGCATATGCCTGGGTTGAAGGTTCAATCCCCGGTGGGGGTGTGCTGGAGGCAGCTGATTAATGATTCTCTCTCATATTGATGTTTCTATCTCTCCCACTCCCTTCCTATATGAAATCAATAAAAATAGATTTTTAAAAAATCCTATAAAGAACTCAAACTTATCTGGGCTCATTTTTCACTTGTCAGTGTTTTAAAAAAGTAAAAGAACAATATACTGTGGTAAGGGTACTAGGGAATGGGCATCTCATGCATGGCTCTGAGTATATAGGTAAATTTCCTGGTGTAAAGTTTTACAGTCTGAATGAAGAGCTTTCCAAATGATTATATTTTTGGCCTAGTTATTCCACTTTAGGAATCTAAGCATTTGGGAAATATGCTATATATTTCAAGATAGTAAATGGGGAAGACAACAGTATGTTCTTAGTTAAATTTATTTGTTTGCTGGGCCATTCATTCTTGTGTAAATAAAAACTAAGGAACTACCTTACTTGTCTTTCAGGACTACTGTCTCAGAAATTGGCATTTGGGGAGGGAGGAGGGGGGAGAGAGAGAGAGAGAGAGAGAGAGAGAGAGAGAAAGAGAGAGAAAAACATCGATGCATGCACCCCAAGCAGGGCCTGCACCCCAAGCAGGGCTTGGGTTGAGCCTGCACCGAGGTATGTGCTCTTGACCCGGAATTGACTGGCTGACGCTCTAACCACTGAGCAACCGGCCAGGGCCAACTTTATTTTTTAAATTAACAGTCAGCGCTCACTCAAAATGACTTTGAAAACCCTCAGGAAAAATAATCTGCTATATCTTCTATATTTAGAGCAGGAGGTATCTCTTATGTTGGGATAAAAGCTATTTTAGGAGCTACTGTTTAAGATACTCTGACATTGGTATTTACCTTATGATTTTTACAGCAAATGGACAGTGCAGAAATATAGAGAATGGAACCAAATTGTATAGCACATGGTAAATGATAGGACCAAGAAACTATAAAAAAGGACTAAATATAGAAAAGGATTAAGCATACTTTTGGAAGAAAGTGTAGGTTTCTATATGCTGGGGTTGTTTCTAGAGAAAGTAACTGCTAATATCAGGCTGTGACTACTAAAGAGCCAAACTTGTTCCAGAGCTGAGGAAATGGATAAGGATTCCTGAGTAACATCTGTCATCACACAGTTATACAGAATGAATTTATAGGGTCCTTTGATTAGACTGGCGGAGGGGGACCTTTTTTCTTCCAAGGGCCATTTGGATATTTATAACATCATTTGTGGACCGTACAAAATTATCAGCTTAAAAAAATTAGCCTGCTATATTTGGTCAAACATTTAATTAACTCACTACTAATGCCTTGGCAGGGCTGGACTTTCCCCACTCCTGGTTTAGACACTGATCTTGCTGAATCAAAAGGACAGGTGGCTCAAGAACCCTCTCCCTTCCTCTTTCTCTCAAAATCAATAAATTATTCTTTAATAATAATAATATTGAATGTCAGCTGTAGTTGAAAATAAAAAAAAATTAATCTCCCTCTCTTAACCATGAAGAAAAGGAAATAACATTAAATTTACAACGATGTCAGCTTTAGATATCAGAAAAGGAAGATACTATTTCACCAGCAAAGAGGAAAGAGTTGTTTCTAGTGTCTACAGTTTTTAGTCTTACAAATAGTCTGTGTCTGTTTTTTTAATGCCCTTATAATCATTAACATGTCTTAGCTAAGAAGGTTATGGACAAGTTTATCCTTTTCTCCCCTCCCTGGAGCAAATATCAAAACAATGTATTTGATTGAATGCAGACTCTATACTATGTTTTTTTTTTCTTATTTTTTTTAAATTGTGGGGGCTTTTAAAAATGTTTTTATTGATTTTAGAGAGGTGAGGAAGAGAGAGAGAGCGAGAGAGAGAGAGAGAGAGAGAGAGAGAGAGACAGACATATATTGATGTGAGAGAGAAACATCGATTGGCTGCCTTCTGCACTGGGGATCGAGCCTGCAACCTGGGCATGTGCCCTGACCAGGAATCAAATCAGTGACTTTTCGGTGCACGGGACAATGCTCAACCAACTGAGCCACACTGGCCCAGGCACTATCTTTTCTTTTGATGAATAAAAATATTGGTACAGTGAAGCATGCTTGTATTTTTTATTATTTTATTTTTTATTTCAGAGAAGAAGGGAGATGGAGAGACAGAAACATCAGTGATGAGAGAGAATCATTGATTGGCTACCTCCTGCACGCCCCACACTGGGGATGGAGCCCACAACCCGGGCATGTGCCCTGACAGGGAATCGAACCTTGACCTCTTGGTTCATAGGTCAACGCTCAACCACTGAGCCACACTGGCTGGGCAAGCATGCTTGTATTACCGATTTCATCCACAGATACATACTGTCATCTATGTGGCAGGCTTCAATTCACAAAAGTATTCTTTGGACTTACAGCACCAAAATTAATTAAGGTGTGCAATGGAGGTTGCATTTTCCCAGTGGTCCTGGCCTACGAAATATACACTGAGCTATGGTCTAATTCCTTTTTAGACCTTAAAGAAACAAGAAACTCATCTTGCCACTTAGTGGTTATTTATTTTCCCACTAATAAAGTTTATTTGCTATGCTGTTGTTCTGCTTAATGTCTCTGAACCTTAATTTCCCCACTATACCACAAGTGTGTTCCTTATGATTTCTTAAGGCCCCTTTCCATTGACTGCACTTTCTCTGATAATGCTGGTGAACAATGAAGACAGAAAGCAGCATGGCAGGAAAAGGAAGGCTCTGAAATATTAACTGTTAAATAATTAAGACTATGACTTACCAACTCTATTTCAGTGACTGCTGCTTTTTTTGGTTATTCCATGTGCTTAAGGTGGTAGTAGTTATATGGGTAAATGTAAAATGGAGTTCTAGCTATAAAGGTTTTACATTTTTTATTGGAGTGTAATTTATTTGTAGTACCGTCTATAGATTACTCTGTGTGCTCACCAAGTATTGGTTACTTCATTTTGGTCTTAATAAATAGAATGAGTTTAGGTTTGAGTATTGCTAACCCAACTTTTTGTTGCAGACAAAACTTACCTGGGGTCCCTACTTATGGTTTTATATGCTTCGTGCTGCCACGTCAACTCTCTCAGGTATTACTTTTCTGTTTGAATATTGTATAACTACTGTAATATGCTCCAAGAGCTCTGCCACAAAGGGGTGTTTCAGAAATGAAGGAGAAACAATAGAGAGTTAATCACTCTCAAGCTAGTTAGCACTGAAAGTTATCAATCTCACTTGTACTTCACCTTAAAACATTCTTCAGCTTTTGGCTGTGTGTGTGTGTGTGTGTGTGTGTTTAAAGGATTGAAAATGGCTATATTAATTTAGATACAATTTTCACAGTCTTAAACCTTTTTTGTTAGCACCTGTTTTATTTTGTCATTTGGTACCCTAATGCCTGTAGTTATAATTCATTTATTTTATATCATTAATATATTTTTAAAACTTTTTAATTGATGGAGAGAGAGAGAGAGAGAAAGTAATGTTGATTGCTGTTACATTTATTTATGCATTCACTGGTTGATTTTTGTATGTGCCCTGACCAGGGATGGAACCCACAACCTTGGCGTATGATTCTCTAACCAACTGAGCTACCAGGCATGGACAATGTTTTATTTCCTTTTTAAAAATATATTTTTATTGATTTCAGAGAGGAAGGGAGAGAGAGAAAGAGAAACATTAATGATGGGAGAGAATCATTGATTGGCTGCCTCCTGCACACCCCCTACTGAGGTATTTGCCCTTGACCAGAATCAAACCCGTGAGCCTTCAGTATGAAGGCTGACACTTTACCCACTGAGCCAAACTGCTAGGGCTAGTGTTTTATTTCTTAAACTAGAGGCCTGGTGCACGGATTTGTGTACTATTGGGGTCCCTCTGCCTGGCCTGCACCCTCTCGTCATCTGGGGGGATGTCAGAGAGCCGGTTTCGGCCCGAACCCTGCAGGCCAGGCCGAGGGACCCCAATCAGTGCACCGGGCCTCTAGTGTGTGTATAAGATCTTTGGTTAATCTCTTCCAGCCCTCCCCCCGCCCTCCTTTCCTCTGAGATTCATCAGTCTGTCCCATGTTTCCATGCTGTGGTTTCCGCTCCTGGGTCGAGCATCTTCCTCCTGGTGGTCAGTGCACGTCATAGCTCCCAGCCAGTCGGCTGGTTGACCGGTCGCTTATGCTTTTATATATTTAGACTGAGATATAACTAAGTCATATTTGAAAGAAATGAATTATCAGCTTATGACTTAATCATGCTAACTTTAAATATAGGTTTTAAATCATAAAGCTTTCTCTTCTAATTTTAACTCCTTCATAGCTTCTATCACTTCCTGCTTTTTTATTAGATCTAATTTTGAATAGTAATTCATTCAACAAACATTTACTGAGCACTCAGTATATGCTGGACAGTCTGTTGAAATGAAAAGAACATTAGCTTTATATACAGACCTGATTAAATTTTGGATTTGCTTTGTCAGCTTCGCAAGTTCTTCAACCTCTCTGAGTCTAACCTTTCACAGTGCCTGGCATGTATGATACAAGCCATTCCTCTCCTCCAGCCCATTGGCATCCTAGCTCTCTAAGAATATGCATTTTTTTAAAAAAAGAAATAGACATTACTGGGAGTGTTAACAGGTGCCTAAAAGGAGCCATAGTGCTTCTTGAGGAAATCAAGGAATTATATGCAGAAGAGATATTGAATCTTCATAATCTCTCTGAGGGCAGGAACTATAACTTTTGTATTTCTACAGTGCTTTGCACATAGAAAGTGCTCAAGAAATGTTTATAAAAAATACATTTAAAAAAAAAAAGAATTGTTTATGGAATTATGTAAGCTATTTAACTTTTGTATCTTTAGTGTGTGACTTTCTTGGAGAGAAGATTGCATCTGTTTTGGGCATCAGTACCCCAAAATACCAGTATGCCATTGATGAGTATTACAGGATGAAGAAGGAGGTGTGTCTCCCTTTTACATTTTCTTGATTAGGTTTGCTTTGCTATGGACTTGATGGGTTGTATATTGAACACATGTATTATCTAGGTGCCCAAAAGGTAACTCCCTTATGCTAGGCATTTCATTTTAGAGTCAGTTTCTTTATCAAATTAGCATACATTTTTGGAATTTTTTAATACTGAAAGTTTCCTAGGATCTATTTGTAAAATTGAGCTAGATTTACTGTGCTAGGTGCTATGTATGTTATTCATCTTCACACACCTCTCTCTGGATTATTATCTTCCAATTTTAAGACAAGGAAACAAGACCCAGTCTCTCTACTTAGGATGCATAGCCTGCATGTAGAACTGGAGTGAGTTTGATGCACAGAAAATTATAGGTACTAGGAATGTGTGTCAGTAGTTAAGGCAACCTGTCTATAGTGAGGTCTTAGAGTGGGGGTGAAATGAGTTTAGCCTTAAACAATGAGAAAGCTTTAGCATTTAAGAGCATGGGCCCAAGAAACAAAGAGTCTGAATTCAAATTAACCTTTATAAGCCTCAGTTTACTCATCTTTATAATGAAAATTGCAGCATCCATGCTGGGGTTGCTCTAAGGATTAAATGAGTTAATATGTAAACAGAACAGCACCTAGTATATATTAGTGAAAATGAAAAAAATATTAGTATCTCTTACTATTCTCCTTCAAGCACTTGAGGGTAATTTAGATAAACTTAGAATAGAGAGGAATGAAAATATGTTGTATGTTTGGGGAAATGGCAAGAATACTACTTTATTGTCACTGGAGCAGAGTATAACAGAATGGCTGGAGATGAATCTGGAAAGCTCAACTGACTTTATATTTATTTGGTTTCAAAAACGTTTGATGAACAACTTGTTTAGAACCTCATTACCTCATGGGGAGTATTGAATAGCCTCTCTAAATGGCCTTTCTCATTCACTCTCTCTTTTTTTTTTTTTCTCATTCACTCTCAAGAAAGCCCTAGATTAATCTTCTTGACAGGTTAGTCATTCTGTACCCATACTGCAGGGACAAATACACATGCCACCTCTTCCATAAACTTAGTAGTTCTGGAACTGGAAGTTACTATTTCTGAATCTCTATAGTTATTCCTTTGTCTCAATGCTGTTTTTACATGTCTTAACTTCCCTCTTAGATTGTAAACTTTCTGAGGGCAGAGACTGCCCTATCTGTTACCAGGTGCTTATGGGAACACTAACCACGCTATGTCAATTTAGTGAATAGACCACCCTGTTCCAGTGAACAGGCTGATACCCTATAATCGAAGTGATATAGTATTAGCTATAGTTTTAGATTAATCTGCGAAGATATATCCCTTGTCAAAGTTAGTTCAGGTTTCATCTCAGAGGGGGAGGGGAGGCAGGAAGAGGTTAAATAAAGAATTATATGCATATATGCATAATCCATAGACACAATGGTGCCATGAAGGCCTGGGGAGGGGACAGGAGCAGGGTGGAGGGGTCAATGGGGGAAAAAATGGGGACATCTGTAATGCTTTTAATAATAAAGATATATTTTTAAAAATGACAACACTTCTAAAATGTCATGTAATAGTTTTCATTTCAATTTGGGAATGAAAGGGAAGGAAAGTATGTCTTATCTTAATTAGACCAAAGTGAATTGGACACGATACTGTTTTGGTTAAAAAAGAAAAAAACAACAAGCAGCTACAATTGGGGGAACAAATATTATTCCTTTCGGACATAATATTTGAACGATTCTTGGTATTTCCTCTTTTTAGGAGGAGGAAGAAGAAGAAGAAAACAGGATGTCTGAAGAAGCAGAAAGACACTACCAACAGAATAAGCTGCAGGCTGATTCCATTGTTCAGACAGATCAACCAGAAACAGTGGTGTCCAGTTCATTTGTGAATCTCAATTTTGAAATGGAGGGAGAGTGTGAAGTATTTACAGAAAACAAACAAAATCCAGTCTCTGTCCCACCATAGAATGCAACGACTCTCAGACTTCAAACTCTAAGGTGGTTTTTATACCAGGAACTTTCACATTCTCTATTCAGTGGGATTTAATACAGTTATTTATATTTTAAATTATCTATAAAGGGAAAACTCTTTATTCTTGGGCTCTATCTAGCAAAAGTCAGATCTGAAATTTGGATATTTGTACTATGCTTTTACTGTGTGTCAAATTAGTGTTTTGGTTTTAAAATGATCTTTATAAAAATGTTAAGGACATTTTAGAGCCCTAACTGCCAATTAAGAAGAGTTAATTATCATGCTTGTCTGTTATTTGTGTTTGTACAAAAAAAATGGGTCAAGTTGCTGATTAAGGCTAGAGTTGATATTCCTAATCTCAAATGAAAAAGGATTTTCCCTGATTTTTTCATGCTCTTATTCATATATCTAACCATTAACTTCATACTAAAGATGATTCACTGAGTAATAAAAGGAGTAAGATAAAAGCACTTTGAATTTTCTTTCCTTGAGAATAACTTTACTTTATGGAAAGGTGATTGAGTCTGTAACACCAAATAAGATGGTTTTTTTTTTCTTTTTTAAATATTTTTATGGATTTATGGTGTGATTCATGGCATATGATGGCAATCTTTTTAGTAATGGGCCTATACTACATAATTTAGTGCTTAAAGGATTAGTTATCAGATTATGTAATTAATGTCACCATAAGTTACAGTTTACCAATAGCTCTAAAACATGCTAACCTAACATCTTCCCTCCAACTTTTTTTTAACTTCTAATTTGAGTTAGTACTTCCAACTCAGATATTTGGTTATCCAGTGAAGGCATGCATATCTAAAGGTGATCTGAATCTTTTCTCCTTAGAGGTAATATATCTAACAAAAACTAGAAACTTGTCTGATTATAGTAGAAGGAAGATAATGACCTATGAAGATTTTGTGCTTCTTGAATTTTATTTTCTTTACTTGTCTAACAGTGGCCAGTTTGTAATGTTTACATAGTTAAACACTGTGCCTTAAATTTTTATATTTTTATTTATGCAAACTATAAAATTTCCCATAAATGCATTAAATGGTTTTGTCTTATTTTTAAGCCTTTCAGTTTTTCTTCCTTTCAATCCTTTTAATATTTACTGTCCCCTGTGGATCATAGTTTGTGATATTCTATCTTTTTCTAATCTTTCATCTCATAAAAACTAGACATAATATAATTGAGAACCCTTACAATGAGTTAAATTCTCTAACAATAATCCTTAACAAACTGAAGTTTTATAAAAGGTAACCCTGGTACTGGTTAATAAAACTAGACAGATTTTTTTATACCAATGATTTTACACTTGATCTTAGCCAAAAGGCCGAGAAGCGATATATATACCAATGATTTTAAAGTAAAATATTAACTTCAATACTTTATTGAAATATCCTATTAAAAGAAACATCATATCTAAACACTTCTAACCCAGAAATGAAATGAATGGGGAAGTCTGTAATCTCTGATATACATAATACTTTAGGGGAATCCTTAAGGTTAAATGATCACATTATAATTTAAACTACCCTTCAGATATTCACATTCTTAATGACTAATGTCAGAAATAGTCCTAAATATTACACAGATTTAAAGTGGACTCCTTCTACCTTCAGCAAATCACACTTGTCACATTTAAACTAAGTGGAAACAGGATTTACTGCTTCCTAATTTGGTCCTATTGCTTCCAAACTATTAATTCCAATAATGAGAACATTTGCTGTGTTCTATAGGCATTTGAAGTCTTTTATTTAGACCATTTCTAAGGATTCTGCTTCAAAGGTTTTACATGCAGCATTCAAGCTTATGTTAATGAATACAGTCTAGTTTTTGAGATCATGTATCATCAAGGTCTGCAGAGTTTTCATTGTCATTTGCAACAAGGGCTTCTCTGTTCTCATAAGTCCAGAAGCCATTCAGATCGATTAGAATGGTGGTAACTGTGTCTCCTTGATTACTGTTGATTAAATCCTGAAGAGAGATTTTCAAAGGATCCTTTGGTTTTACCATGTCAAAGATTTCATCCTGCAAGAGAAAAGAAAAACACAATGGAATGTTATATATGATTCACTTAATTTTTATCACACAGTGACCTAAAATTCAGCACTTAAGCTTATGTAAAATTTTTGTAAAAGAAAAAAACCAACAGATACGCAGTCTCCTTTTCTATGTACAATCACAGAATTTTACTGGAATATTTCTTAGTTATGTGATAACTATCAAAGAGTAAGAAACTGAGGCTCGAGTTTAAGCTAATACAAGCTACATAGGTAATTAATAGCTAAACAATTTAATGTAGTGTTCTTTGAGTACATGTTAACTAACTACTTGTACTTTTGTTAGTGATGAAGCAAACCCTTGATTCAATTTAAGTGCAAACCCAGCTCAAACTTAAAGGCTTCAGAGCCAAGATTATGACAAAGCTTCATTTCCAATATTGATGTCAACCTTTTACACTCTGGACCTATGATGAGGGTGGGGGGTTGGTATCAAAGAATTAGTCATCCAGAAGAACACTAATTGTGCTAAAATTTACTGGAATAGATGGAAGAACCTCTTCTAAATAAATACTTACAAAGAATTAGTACGTGTTTCCTAATCTTTTTGTAATAAAATTACTCAGTATTTAGTGTCATTAAAGGAGGAAAATTACATTTTCAAAAGTTTAGAACAGCCCTAACTGGTTTGGCTCAGTGGATAGAGCGTCGGCCTGTGGACTGAAGGGTCCCAGGTTCAATTCCAGTCAAGGGCATGTACCTTGGTTGTGGGCATATCCCCAGGAGGGGGTGTGCAGGAGGCAGCTGATCGATGTTTCTCTCTCATCGATGTTTCTAACTCTCTATCTCTCTCCCTTCCTCTCTGTAAAAAATCAATAAGATATATTTAAAAAAAAAAAGTTTAGAACAATTTAGGTAAAAGAAATGAATGAACTTTTATATGTTTGTGAAACTTCCTCTTCCAGGTTGGTGGCCATTTAAAATTAACTAGTTCTATTTATTTATTTTTTTATTGATTTCAGAGAGGAAGGGAGAGGGAGAGAAGCATCAATGAGAGAGAATTACTGATTGGCTGCCTTCTGCATGCCCCCTACTGGGGATCAAGCCCACAACCCCAGCTTGTGCCCTTGGCGGGAAATCGAACCCGTGACTATTCAGTCCGCAGGCCAACACTCTATCCACTGAGCTAAACCAGGTAGGGCTTACCTAGTTCTTAAGTTGCCTGTTGCATAGTTTAAAATTTGTGTCATTTATATTAAACCAAAATAACCCTTTATCTTATTCTTGGTTAAATCTGAATGAGTTATTTATTACATTACTAGAGGCCTGGTGCACGGGGAACAGGGGTCCCCTCAGCCCAGCCTGCACCCTCTCCAATCTGGGACACCCTCAGGGATGTCCGACTGCCGGTTTAGGCCAGATCCTGAGGATAGGACCTAAACCGGCAGTCAGACATTCCTCTCACAATCCGGGACCACTGGCTCCTAACTGCTCACCTACCTGCATGCCTGATTGCCCCTAACTGCCCCCACTGCTGACATGGTTACCCCCAACTGCCTCCCCCACTGGTCTGGTCACCTCTTACTACCCCCCTCTCCCGCTGGCCTGGTCACCCCCAACTGCCCCCCTGCCAGCC